TCCATCCGTTCTATGATATAACAATTAAACAGTCCTGCATGAGTGTTTAGGTGGAGACAGACCATTCGAAGACATTCTGTGCTCGATTTGGGTAATCGATGGTAGCAGCGGCCACTGCTGAACTGACCGCCGAAATCTGGCGCTATATGTTTCGTCCCAACCTATTTCGGATTGTGTCCTTTTCACCGCGACTGGAAGACTAATCAGCCTTTGGAGTATTTCAGTCATCGTGGGCCGCTGGTTGGGTTCTGGTGTCCAGCAATCTTCGATGAGTCTCCAAAGGTCATCCTGTAATACTGTTGAGGGTCTCGACGGGCGGTGCCCCTCTACCACCTTCATAATAACTGCTGCATCGTTTGTGAGGTCAAAGAATGGCGCCCTGGCAGTCAATATCTATCCAAAGGATGAATTTAGAGGAGAAAATTGGGGGCTTCAACGACGAACCTCGTAGCAAACGCAGGCAAATGCATAAACATCTGATGCGAAATGGATCGAACTTTGGCCTAACAGCAACTCAGGTGCCTGGTATCTTGCAGTCCCTCCTTGGGGCCTGGGAGTTGAATGCGTAAACTGCAACGATATTACGTCGACGATCGAGGACAGGCCGAAGTCCGCGATGCATGCTCTGTTTGACGGAGTCACCAGAATATTTGTCTGCACATGGGACATGAATACTGGAGTGTCGGTTAACAACTGCAGGCCTCGTACCGCCTTGAGATCTCCGTGGACTACATTTTTACTGTGCAGGTGCCCCAGGCCCATTGCTATATCGAGAATCTAGAACAGACATAAGATATTCAAACTGACGACGATTAGGGAACAGAACCCACAAGAGACACAGGGTTGATATCAGAAGGAGCATTTTTGAAGAAATCTAGAAGGTGTCCCTTCTCCATCCATGGCGAAACAAGACAGAGTCTAGTGTCGAGATAATATAAGCCAAAGAATGGAAGCAAGTTTGGGTGAGAAAGCTGCCGCCAGATGACAGCCTCGCGACCAAATCCCTGCGAAATATGTGTCATTGAAGCCAATATCTCCGGGAAAGCAGAAGCCGGACCTTCAGTGCCGCTTTCACGTCAACCTCCTGGAATATTCTCATACTCTTGACAGCAACAGTTTGACCACCGACGAAACCTTTCCAAATGTCACCGTACCCCCCGCCCGCGACTTGCTGGCCGACTTTCTGTAATCCAGAAAGAGTGAAGCATTGGGGATGCAGTCCAGATTCACGCGAAAGCCTCAGTAAAGCTGTGGAAAGCACAGGCCTAGATGTTGACTCATAGCAAATATCTAGAAGCTGACAAGCTCTAGATAAGCACAATTGCAGCGGACCGAAATTGACGAGGCGACATACATCTTGCAAAAGATCCAGAAGTTGTTGAGCAACAGTTCCACGACAGGCCAAAAAGAGTCTGCATGTCTCTAGATTGCCCAGTACCAAAGTCATCTGTCTCAGAACTGTGGAAACATCTTGGGACAGTTTCTGTGATGTTTCCGCTGCAGCAGATTTTCGCAAATCCTGTTCAAAACATCAAGGAACATCATGGAATTGAAAGCAATCCCACTCGCCTTGTTGCCCAAATATTTTAACAGTATATTTACGACGGATTGATAACTCGCAAGGCTAGTCAAACTGTCCCATTCTGCCCATTGCTTCGATAACTCTAGAAGGTTGTTTCTCGGGCTGATTATGTTTCAAGTCGGTCATTGCTCGACAGATCACAACATTAGACGCACCCATCACAGAATCTGAGCTCATGTAGTACAAATGACGCAAAGTTCTGGTGGTTTTGTAAGTGAAGGAGTGACCTGCGGCGCCATTGAACTCACCTGGTGTATGTCAAGCCAGGGACCCCCATATAGGTTTTGCCGCTCCGGACTTTGGACTGGTCCCTTCACCGCGAAGGGACGTCCGGTCCCTGTGGAGGCGGAGATAGCTGGTGACAGAAGACCGCCGAAGTGGCCAGGACCCCGGCCCACGGGGCTGGGACGTAGACCAGCATCTGGGGGAAGTCCCGAGGTCTGAGAATTCGCCTGCATTATGGGCTCCTGGGCAAGAGTGTATGCAAGGGAAGGGATCAAGCACCCGACTACACCGGCGCGGAAAGAGTTCCTGCCGTCCGATGTCGATCAGTGATACAAATGTGTTAGGCAATTAAATTAGCAACATCATGCCGGCACTGCGGCTGTTGAACAGTTCAAAATGCTGTTGACCGGTGATTTCTGGCCGCTACGTCAATGATAAACTGAGGCGTGGAAATTCGAATACATAATACGCTGGGACATAAGTAGCCGATAAGGCTCAGATTTACGGCATGCGGTGCAGGAAACTGTCAAAAGGGGTGGGAGAGGCAGTTGAGGATTCATTTGGAATAGCGCGAGGTGAATACGGCGAAGGCTAACGGAGTTCCAGCAACCGTCAGTCGATGTAAGGTCACTCCCACATCTGGAATGACAAATCCTTCAATATTTCAATCGAGATAAATGAGAGTAGCTACGCTGGATAAAAGCCAAGAGAGATAAGTTGCCCGGGAATGTTCAGAGGAAGATCACGATAGAACCCCAAATATTGATTGTTCAGGAATCCTCCACTTCCCCGAGAGGAATTGAACCTCCGCTTCCTCATTCAAATGACATACCTTGCGACGGCATCAAGGCGACCGCCACAATCCACAAGAGCTCACAGACTCCCATTCGCGCGCTTGGAAGTGCAGGTGAAGCCGTGATGGAACTATGTAAAAAAAAAATGGCTCTTGAGGAAGAATATGCCCCCGAGAGGAGTCGAACCTCCGCTTCCTGATTCAAATTGATTCGCGACGGAATCGAGGCGACCTCCACGGTCCACGAGGGCTTGCTAGTTATCATTCGCGCCCTGGCAAGTGCAGCTCAAGTGGTGATGAACCTAAAAAAATAGCTCTTCAAGATGAACATGCCCCCGAGAGGAATCGAACCTCCGTCTCCTCATTCAACATGCCTTGTACCTCGAAAGTATAATGCAGAGGCGCCCGCCACGGTCCACGAGGGCTTGCTAGACACTATTCGTACGCTGGGAAGAGCAGGTGAAGTCTGATGACCCAGAAATAGGTCCATAGCACCATTGCCCCGAGAGAAATCGAACCCCCGTCTCCTCGTTCACCATGCCTTGTACCAGGTAACCATATGCTGCCGAGACGACCGCCACGGTCCAGGAGGGCTTGCTAGATACCATTCACGCAATGGCAAGTGCAAATGCAGGTGAGGCTGCGATGGAACCTAAAAAGAAGGTAGGTCAAGCCGAACTTACGCCCCCGAGAGGAATCGAACCTCCGCTTCCTCGTTCACTATACATCCATGCAACTTGACGGAATCGAGGAGAACACCACGGTCCACGCGGGCTTGCTAGATGCCATTTGTACCCTTGGAAGTGCAGGTGAAGTCGTGATGGAACTAAAAAAATAGCTCTTCAAGACGAACCTGCCCCCGCGAGGAATCGAACCTCCACTTCCTCGTTCCAACCTCGTGGCGACCTACGGAATCGAGGCGACCACCACGGTCTACGAGGGCTTTCTAGACACCATTCGCACGCTGGAAAATGCCGGTGCAGCCAGTGCCACGAAAGAACCTAAAAAATGACTTTGCAACACGATCCATGCCCCCGAGAGGATTCGAACCTCCGCTTCCTCGTTGAAATCGATATTGATTCTTGCGACGGGATCGAAGCGACCACCACATTCCACGGGGGTTTGCTCGTTACCATTCGCGCGCTGGGAAGTGGGAGTAAGTACAGCGGCAATGGAACTAACCAAAGGATTATTCGGGAGCTCCTCATACCCCCGGGAGAATTCGAACCTCCGCTTCCCCGTTCACCATGCCTTGCAACGACAAACCTATGCTGCAGAGCCGACCGCCATGGTTCACAGGGATCATCTACTGCCATTCGCTCGCTGGGAAGTGCAGGTGAGTTGGCGATGAACCTAAAAAATTAGCTGTTCAGCACATTATGTCCCCAGGAGGAATCGAACCTCCGCTTCCTCGTTCAACAAGCCTGGTACCAGGCAACATATGCTGCCGAGGGGACCACCACGGTCCACGAGGGCTTGCTAGATACCATTCGCGCGCCGGGAAGTGTAGGAGTTGGCGATGGAACCAAAAAAAAAACATTGATCACCTACATGCCCCCGAGAGGATTCGAACCTCCGCTTCCTCGTTGAACGAGGCAACAACTTCACTCACGGAATCGAGGCGACCACCATGGTCCACAGGGGCTCGTAGACTCCCTTTCGCGCGCTGGTAAGTGCAGGTGAAGATTCAATGGAACTAAAAACAAAATTACGACGAGAGGATTCTAACCTCCGCTTCCTCATTCAAATATTTGGATTCATAAATGCCTACGGAATCGAGGCGACCACCACGGTCCACGGGGGCTTGCTGGACACCATTTGTGCCCTAGGAAGTGCAAGAGATAAGTCGGATGAACGAAAAACGTTCAATACCCCGCCATGCCCTCGAGAGGATTCGAACCTCCGTCTCCTCGTTCACCATACCTTGTACCAGGCAACCATATGCTGCCGGGCGACCGCCACGGTCCAGGAGGACTTGCTAGATACCATTCACGCAATGGCGAGTGCAAATGCAGATGAGGCTGCAATGGAACCTAAAAAAAAGGTAGGTCAAGCCGAACTTACGCCCACGAGAGGAATCGAACCTCCGCTTCCTCATTCAAGGTGATATTGATTCCTGCGACGAAATCGAGGCGACCACCACGGTCCACGGGGGCTTTCTAGATACCATTTATGTCCTAGGAAGTGCAAGAGATAAGTCGGATGAACGAAAAATGTTCAATACCCCGCCATGCCCTCGAGATGATTCGAACCTCCGCTTCCTCGTTCAATCATGTCGATGTCAATGACACTGAATCGAGGTGACCACCACGGTCCACGAGGGCTCATATACTCCCTTTCGTGCGCTGGCAAGTGCAGGTGAAGATGCGCAAACTAAAAAAAGCGCAAAGATCGCCAACATGCCCCCGAGAGGATTCGAACCTCCGCTTCCTATTGCATCAACCTCCCACACGGAATCGAGGCGACCACCATGGTCCACGGGAGCTTGCTAGATACCATTCGCGCGCTGGGAAGTGCAGGCGAAGATGCGATGCAACTCGAAAAAAAATGCAGAGTCACTATGCCCTCGGGAGGAATCGAACCTCCGTTTCCTCGTTCAAATTGCTCATCTGCGACGGAATTGAGGCGGCCACCACGGTCCACGGGGGCTTTCTAGATGCCATTTTTAGCCTGCCAAGTCGGAGTAAGTAAAGTGGCGATGGAGTAAAAAAAAGCACAATAGAGCGTGGATGCCCCCGGGAGGATTCGAACCTCCGCTTCCTCGTTCGAGTTGGTTCCATCGGACGGAATAGAGGTGACCGCCACGGTCCACAGGGGCTTGCTAGATACCATTCGCGTGCTGGAAAGTGCAAGTGAAGTCGTGATGAACCTAAAAAAAGGGTATTGAGGACCTATTGTGTCCCCGAGAGGATTCGAACCTCCGCTTCCTCGTTCAAATTACTCATCTGCGACGGAATCGAGGCGACCACCACGGTCCACAGGGGCTTGCTAGATACCATTCGCGCGCTTGGAAGTGCAAGTGAAGTCGTGATGAACCTAAAAAAAGGGTAACGAGGACCTATTATGCCCCCGAGAGGATTCGAACCTCCGCCTCCTCGTTGAACGTTGCATCAACTTCCCTCACGGAATCGAGGCGACCACCACGGTCCACGGGGACTCTTAGATTCCCATTCGCGCGCTGGGAAGTGCAGGCAAAGATGCGATGAAACTCAGAAAAAAACACAAGTTAAGACCATGCCATGCCCCCGGGAGGATTCGAACCTCCGCTTCCTCGTTGAACATTGGCCCTACGGAACGGAATCGAGGCGACCACCACGGTCCACGGGGGCTTGCTAGACACCATTCGCGCGCTGTGAAGTACTAGTGCAGCAGCACCCGCGAATATACACCACGGAAACACAGCACCCCGCCCCCAGCAAAGGCTGAGACATCCTGATTCCTCAAGGTAGTGGTCCGTGCGCACGATACCCGATTCGGGCGCACAGCGCCTCGAGAGCACAAGCGCGCGCGCACGCTGAGACCTCGGCGGAGGACGACGCGGGAAGGATGTGCACCGAAGATGGAGAGATGGAGAGAAGTACCAGGCGGGGAGACGGAGAGACACTAGGGGCACATGCGGGGGCACAGCCACCACCGATGACGAGGCCCTCGGTGGGGGACAACGGCGCGGGCGAGGTGCAGCGGCGGAGCCGGTCGTGCGCATCGTGAGCTTGAGCGCACATTAGAGCCGCACGAGGCCTCAGATCTTAGAGCCGCACGAACGCGGCCGCCAGCGGGAGTGCACAGCCACAAACGATGGCGAGGCATAGGCGTCGCGGGCGTCGTGGGTCCGACGGAGAGTGCAAGCGCGAGAACGAAGGGGATGGACGGCGGCTCGGGATACCACTCGAGGAGCGTCGTGCACGGGGGCGTCCGTGCGCAGGGAGCAGCGGCATGCATATGGGAGCGCCGACCGAGACGGCTGTCACCTGTGGAGCGCCCGAGTCGACTGAGACACAAAAGGACGACGATAAGGACTCGACTCGTCATCGCGCACGACCGTCGAGGTACCGCTCGCGCCCCGCTTGGACTGGTCGAGCACGACTCGAGCGAGTACAGAGAGAGAACGCATAAATAGCATAGAGCCGGAATCGTATTCGTATTCAAGAGGACATCAAGATAAAGGGAAGGGACGCCGGTCGAGTCCGTGCCGCTGCGTCAGGTGAACGTGAACGTCAAGGAAGGTCAAGGTGAGAGGAAGAGGTGCACGAGGCAAGGGGTGACGCAGCGCGAGAAGGGGAGGGGGAAGGGTGCGGGAGGAGCCCAAAGAATAAAGGAGACCTATGTATGTAACTAGCGACAAAGGAACATGACACACAAACAAACGAGGAACGAGGAACGAGAAAGAGAGGAGACAAGGGAAGGGAAGGGACAAGGGAGTACACGGCGCCGGATCATACATACATACAACACGCGGTAGTAGGACGAGACGACAGGAGAGGAGAGGAGAGGAGAGAGGCACAGGGAGGATAGATAAGGGATAAGGGATACGATAGCAGCAGTCGGGGATCCGTTTTCTGTGTCCGTTTCCGGGGGGTGCGTCCGGGGAGGGAGACGACGGGGACTAGGCCTGGGTGGGGTGTTAGTGTGTGCGACGACAAGCGGGAGAGGGAGGGAGAGGGGGAGGGGACGACGGGGAGTGTGAAGGTGAAGTAGGAGGGGAGGACAGGACAGGGCGGGAAGGGAAGGATGGGGAAGGGAGGGCAAGCAGGAAAGCGACGCACCTCCGCCTCAGCGGCGGCCTCTGCCTCCGCCTCCTCTGCGATGGTCTCGCCGACAGCGGCGGCGGGCGCGGCAGATGCGGGCGCGGCCTCAGCCTATCGACAGCGAAACTCGTCAGCCATGCTCACCCCGCACACGACAAGACAAGACCGACCTTGGACGCGGGCTTCTTGGAGCCGGCGCGCGACGCGGGCTTGACGGAGGCCTTGGACGCGGGCTTCACGGACGCCTTGGAGGCGGGCTTGGCCGCGGCGGCCTTGGACGCGGGCTTCGAGCCAGCCTTGGACGCGGGCTTGGCCTGTGGCGTCGTCAGCACAAGCCATGGTGGGAGCACAGCAACGACAAACCTTCTTCGCCGGCGGGGCCTCCTCCGCCTCGCCGTTCGCCTCGGCCTCCTTGTCGTCGTCGTCGGCGGCGGGTGCCGCCTCCTCCTTGTCCTCCGCGGGCGGCTCCTTGCGCTTCCGCCCACGCTTGGGCTTCTCCGCCGCCTCCTCGCCCTCCTTGGGCTCTTTCTTCGCGCGCGGCTTCGCGGGCGCCTTCTTCTTCTCCATGGGCGCATCGACCTTGGGCAGCTCCTTGATGCGCGACGAGCGGCGCGGCTCGCCCGCGGCGGACTCTCCGTCGGCGGCGGCTTTTCTGGGCATCGGTGCTGCGGGGGGTGTGGGGTGTGGGGTGGGGTGGGGTGGGTGGTGAAGTCGGGGGACTGGGGACTAGGGCGATGAGCGGGACGACGAGCGGGTGGCTGGCGGCGGCGAGCGGTGGGCAGACGGGCGGCAACGAGCTGTTAAGTCGCTGTGTGGATGGGCGCAGGAGGCAAGACGCGTGAGGCCCACCAACGTTGGCCCTGTTTGGTTACTCAGCCCCTTTTTCCCATCACGTGCGTCGCGTCAAGCGATCAACACAACAAAGGCTTTTCGCGTCCTTTAGCGCGTCTTGGTCCTCATGGCCTCGGAAACTCGTGGAGACGTGTCTTTGAGGTACAAATTGCTCCCAGAAAAGTCTGGGAGGAAAGGGAGTCACAGGGGCCGAATACGGCCTATTTGGGATAAAATGCACGGACCACTTGGCGGGGATTGGGCGGAGTATGGCGCGCACGGCGCATTTGGCGATTTTTCTGACCTCCTTATTTCTCAATTTCATTTAATGATACATCCTCTGCATATCTGAAGCCCTAGATCCCCCACGAACGGTCAAAATCGCAGTTAAAGTCGAATAGATCAGTGTTTTTTGATGCGTCCAACCATCCATAATTTAGCTGCCCTTCCGAGCGCGCGAAACAGTCCTTTTAAGCCCTCGTGGACCATGGTAGTCGCCTAAAATTTGTATTTTGTAATTGCTGGTACGTTCAGCCAGGAGTGGAGGTTCGATTCCTCTCGGAGGCATAGGCGGATAGGTCTTTATTTTTACCCCATCCAACCATCCATAATTTTAGCTGCACTTAAAAGTGCGCAAAATAGTATTCTTAAGCCCCCGTGGACCATGTTAGTCGCCTCCATTGCCGTGGGCCGAGATGTTCTATTAACGAGGAGCCGGGGGTTCGCTTCCCTCCCGGGGGCATACGCTGGGTAACGGTTATTTTTTTCCTGGCCAGAGTCGACGTCAAGTGCACTTGCCAAGGCGCAGAGGGGAGTCTGTATGCCCTCGTGGACCAAGGCGGTCGCCGCGATTGGATGATACACCACAACTTCCGAACGAGGAGACGGAGGTTCGATTCCTCCCGGGGGCATTCTGTAGGAATTGTGTTTTTCCTGCATCTGACCCCCACAATTTTAGCTGCACTTACAAGTGCGCAGACCAGTGCTTTCAAGCTCTCGTGGGCCATGGTGGTCGCCTCGATTTGATGAGAGGACTTCAAATAATCAAATTCCGACCGAGGAGCCGGAGGTTCGATTCCTCCTGAGGGCATGTGGGGTAGTGACTGTTGATTGTTTTTGTAAGCTCTCGTAGACCATGGTGGTCACCTCGATTTGATGGTTAAGTAGCCCAGAATTTCATCCGAGGAACCGGAGGTTCGATTCCTCCCGGGGGCATGACTTGGTGTTGATAGTTTTTCTTGCCAGAACCGAAGTCAGCCTGCGCACTTGCCAAGGTGCAAATGGAAGTCTGCAAACCCCTGTGGACCGTGGTGGTCGCCTTGATTCGATGGATCATAGGACATGTGGAACGAGGAAGCGGAGGTTCGATTCCTGCCCCGGGCATGGGTAGATTTCAGTCATGACTTTTTCATCTCCCCACGCACTCGACAAAACTCTAGCTGCATTTACCAGGGGTAAATCAGTGCTCTGAAGCCCCCGTGGACCATGGTGGTTGCCTCGATTCGATGAATTCTGACGCAGAGTGGAAACGAGGAACCAGAGGTTCGATTCCTCCCGGGGGCGTAGTGGACACGGTCATGGATTTTCTTTCTCTTCTTGCCACAGCCGACGTCAGCCTGTGCACTTACCAGAGCTAAAATCAGTGGTCCTAAGCCCCCGTGGACCGTGGTGGTCTCCTCGACTTGATTGAGGGTTTCAGATGATATTTCCAACGAGGAGGAGGGGACTCGATTCCTCCCGGGGCATCGTCGTGAAGAACTAAGTTTTTTTCACCCCATCCGACCATGCACTGAACAAAATGTTAGCTTAAAAGGGCGCAAATCACTGCCTGTAAGCCCCCATGGAGCCACATGTCCTGCCTGAGCTGCGCGACGCCGGCCAGAACATTCTCAGGCGTGGGGTCCTCCACCAGCATCGGCTGGGTGCGGTCCACTTCAGCACGGATATGCTCGTGGCAGGCGGGGGGACGACATACGGACGAAATGGCGAGACCATGGTGGTCGCCATGATTTGATGATTCCCACAACTTCCAACGACGAGACGGAGGTTCGATTCCTCCCGGGGGCATGATCAAGGATGTATTTGGTTTTTTACCTCATCCGATCCACTGGACAAAATTTAGCTGCTTTAACCAGTGAGGAAAGGGTATGTGCAGGCCCCCGTGGACCATGGCGGTCACCTCGATTCGATATATTGGCATAAAAATTGGAACGAGGAAGCGGAGGTTCGAGTGTTGTTTTTGCTTCGTTCACTGGCAGAAACCTCGTTTGCGCTTACAAGTGCGCACATGAGTGCTCCTAAGTCTCCGTGGACCATGGCGGTCGCCTCGAATTCATATTTCGTAACGGAGGTAGGTTCAGCGCGGAAGCAGAGGTTCGATTCCTCCCGGGGGCATATGCCGGACGAGTATAGTATGGTATTTTTCTTTCATCTGATCTTTGCCAAAGCGCAGACGAGAGTCTGTAAGCCCTCGTGAAATATGGTGGTCGCCTCGATTCGATTGTACGCCCTGAATTTCGAACGAGGAGCCGGAGGTTCTCCCGGGGGCATGGAATTTCCAGCATGAATTTTTCATCCCTTCATCCATGGCCAGTCGACAAAATTCCAGCTGCATTTACAAGTGTGTAAATCAGTGCTTCAAGCCTTTGTGGACCATGGTGGTCGCCCCGATTGACCCACCCTTTCACATTTGTGGCTATACTGCACTTGTGGCTCGTGCAATTATAACTACAGTACTACTTGAATCATGGCCATCAACGCGAGGTCGAAATTTGCGAAAATGATTCCATCCAGCAGGCCGAATTGCTCCCCGCCCTCTTTACTGAAACGACCTTGGACTCCGGTTTAGCGATGAGCAGCGTGTTGCAGATTGGACATACCGGGTGTTTCACGTTCCACGCGTGCCCTCAAACACAGCGATCAGCTCTCCTCGCAAGTGCAACTCGTATAGCCGCACCACGACAATGGGATCAAGTAGGCGAAAATGACCAGACAGCCATGATAGCTGGGTTTCGAAGACACATCCTTTCTTCACTCGCGAAAGCAGAAAATTGAGATACACCTGGTCGTCGAACTGGAGTAGCGATCGGCAGTGAAGGGCACGAAGGCAAGGGACGAGGGACGGGATTTCCGGCCTTATAGTGAGATGTGCGAGTAGGCTGTCCGCGACCAGTGGCTGGTAGGTGCTGACATCCGCGGCAGACTCGTGATCAGAGATCGTCAACGATTCCAGCAAGGGTAAATCCGAGAGGCACACAATGAGTTCGGTTTGCGTGATGATGCAATCGAAGAGCTGGAGGGACCGTAGATGGGTGTGGAATGATGAGCGCGCGGCGAGCGCGAGAAATTGGGTGTGTGGCCAAAGCAGAAGGACGGGCGGGAAATGTTGCGAAACCAGTTCTAGTGTCTCTAACAAAGGTAATGTTAGACTGTCGAGTACTTTCGCTACTGTTGGTCCACCAGCAGTGGTCGGGCCAACAACGGTACTGGTTGAAAACTCGGGGCCCAACTCGACCGCGAAGGTCGAGATGTTCGATGTCACCGGCTCTGCATGAAAGGATGAATCATGTAGTTGCAGGGTGAACTGGGCCAGCTGCGAGAGACGGGAAATGAAGCTCATTCCCGAGGGCTCTCCGAATAATCGAACCGTATGGAGTTGGTGAAAGAACGAAGTCGGGAATGCTGCAAAGGCTGTCTGATTGTTTCGCACAAACGAGCCAGAAATCATGACTGATCGCAGACGCGGCATAACGTGAAAAACATCCAAGCTTGGCGACGGTCCTCAACAATTTATAGCGAGAGTTTCCAGTCGGATAAACCTCCCCTTCGCGCGGGATACATAGCGCAGATCACTAGAGGGACAGAGGAGCGCAGCGATCTGCCACCGCTCCGAATGCTGGGCCAGGAGCTCCAACGCAGGGCCGTGAGGCACTGTGCTAGACCTATTTTGTATGAAAACGTTGAGCAAGCAATTTCCCCCGCGGTCTAAAATCCGTTTGAGCAAACGCATCATGATTTCTCCGTCAGCCGAAGGGCGCTCTAGTGTGTCGAGCCGAATAATGTTCCACAAAGTGCAGGTGTGCATAACCAGGGTGTAAAACCGTGAACACACACTGGAAAGGGCGAGCAGATGAGGCTGGCTAAGATGGAGTATAGCTTCATCCGATGAACTGGCTGGGCTGACATGGTTCCGGACCTCGGTCGAGACCAATTCGAAAATCTTTACCAGAAGCTCGGACGGCAGTCTACGAATGGGAGCGAGGAGCCCTCCACAATCGTCGTAGTGCGCCTTGAGTGCTGCACGGAAAGCTTCCAACCCCCCGAGCTCCTCTCGAAGTGCCGTGATGCGTGTGTCGCATCGCGCGAGCTCCGTGGACAAGGCGGATATGGTGGATCGGATGTGGTCGGGCGGCGGAAAATTGGAGCGCAGGAGCTTGCGTATCTGTAGCGATGAAGTGGTATCTGGAAGCAAAGCCGACTGGGGGAAGCAGATCGTACTACCAGGACCTGGAGTGGCCATCGTGGTGGTCAAATGCAGTGAAAGATGCAGAAACGTGACCGTCTTTGTCATTCATCTGAGACTTGGGCGAAATTTTCGCCTACCAGGCGCCTACATACCACAGTCTATTAGTATAAACATCTACGTATGTATCAATCAACATATATGTAGGATTAGTCTCCTCGAGCTGAGAACGGGAGAAAAACCTCCACAAGCCTACTCCGTTGCCGTATATCGTTGCCTCGACGGGCATACAAGGAACACCGCGGGAAACCCATGCCGTCAAGGTCGAGAAGGTACCTGCGCAGCACTCAGCGTCCATGTCAATCCCCCGATAAGGGGCAAAATACGCACCTGAGTATGCCTATAGCCCTGCCGTGCTTAGCCTTACACGGGCCCGACCTCCTGTACAGACGCCCGGTCCACCGCATCCCTCCGTGTTAATGGGGCAGGCGTACATCCCCATACACACCTGCATTGTCCGCTCCGCCCCCCGCTCGATCGTCCTTATTCTAGTTACGCGCCTTGCCGACTCGCAGTCCAAGGGGAGGGTGCGAACGTCACGCACTCGCAGAGGCCGTACCAAGCTGTTACCGACGCGCTTTAACATCGACAGGCCGCAGAGGTTACTGCTCACGTACCGATATTGATGCCGTTCATGCCCCCGTGCCACGCCACGCCGCACTCGCGGCCACCGCGCGCTACTCTGGCGTCCCACGTTGTACACGTACACGTCGCTGCCGTGCATTGGCACCGGTTCTCGAGGAAAGGAGACGCCGGGGATACACACCGGCGCATACATAGTAGCTGGCGGAGGAACCGCGAACGGGGACGGGGAGGACAGGCATGTGCGCGGGCAGAAGATACGGCCTGCAGCGGGTTAGGCTCGAAAACACACACTCCGGGCGGCGGCAGAAGTTACTGCCCACGTACTGATATCGATGCCGCTCATATTAGCGTCCACATCGCGCGCTCGCAGACCACGCCCATATCTGTCATCCAGAAAAAGGGTACACGAGCGTGTCCCGTCATGCAAGGAGTGGCTCGAAAAGGAAGGGCGCGCGGGCGGAGAGAAGGAGTGGCCTGCGGTGAGTTAGGCGAAGCGGCGCACCAGAGGCTCGAAAACACGTACTCCGTTCATACATCCTGCGCTCAGGCCTGCGTGCGCTCTAAACCGACTGTTATCCCGCGCGCGGCTTCCGGCCAGCCTACACGGAGGCTTCTATGAGCCTGTCGCTGGGTCAATTCGAGAAGGGTGGTCGACTGCAGCGAAGTTAGCCAGCGCCATAGCTAGAAAGGGCACACGCCCCTTTCTCGATATGTATGACCCAGGTTTGGAGCCCTACACTGCGGCCGCGGTGGGTAGGCGCGGCCGCAGTAGCTGGGCAAGATCGGCCGCATCTGTTTCCATGTCTGGCAGAGCGTGAGGAGGGGGCTTGTGCGCAGAAGCTTGGCGTGGATGTCCTGACGATGGAGTTGTTGGACAGATTTTGAGTAAGGCTACGAGAAGGAGGTTATATCAGCGCAGTAAACGGGATCATTATATACAAGACAACCCACACCATCGTTGATCCCTGGACTCCTGGACTTCC